GGGGGGGGGGGGGGGGATGGCGTCGAGAATCCCCGGCGGGACAAAATTGAGCCCCCAACCAAAGGCGCCAATAAAGCCAAGCATGCCTACGAATACTACCCAGCATCATCGCTTATGATTTCAACAGCAGCCGCCGGTACCTGTCGAACGCGAACAAAAACGTCGTCAACGCTCTCGTTCGGAGTCCCGTCGGTGTTGGGAGGAGGGCGCCAAGTCAGGCTGATCGCATCCTTCTCGTAGACCTTGCGGTGGGAGAGTATGCGAGTAGGGGGGGGGCGTACTCTTATGTTTTGCATGCCTTAGCGGTTAGACCATTGACCACGCGTCCTCGAGAGAACGGAGCATTGTTCCAACAGGACCGATCACCGATGGCCAATCGTTCCTTCCTACTTTGCCAAAGGTGGCTCAAAAGTGTCTCCCCTAGTCTTGTCTATCCTAACGATATCCCTTCCCGCCTTTTCAAACCATTTCCTACTCCCCAGTACAGCTACCGTCCTCTCCTCTCTATTCCATGCCTCAAACATCTCCCTGTGCGTCCCTTGTACTTTTCCCAGCTCAGTCATGTACACTTTTCTCTCCTTTTTGTACCACGGACATTCCGCGACTACATGAACACGGTCTTCGCATTCGAAGCCGCAATCATATTTGAACTTGTCGTCTTCGTCGTCTACCGTCCTATGTCTTCGTCGACGTTCTCGAAGGCCTATGTCCCCGGTCCTGAACTTGACCTTAACCTTTGTCCCATCCATTGGTCCATGTAGGTAATCCTTGAACCCTATTCGTTCTTTCAACATTCCGTACACTTCTAGACCCTCCTTATCCTTGGTTTCTTTCCTTTGATTCTGTTCTTCTCTCTCGGCACAAGCAACAGATATCTTGTCCTTGAACCCCTGTAGACCCTCCGTTTCGGGGGGTAATTCTCATCTAAACCTTGCCTTCGGCCTGTTGACTTACAACACTAATTTCGAGACATCACCAACATTGGGGCATGCTTACAACGGGGGCATGGGGAGGAGTGGGGACACCAGAAAACGGGGTAAGGTAAGGTGTACACCGTTGCTAGGAACAAGACCCCTTGATGCAAGGGGTAAAATACTCACTCTCGAGGATGACACGCGCAAGAGAAGCGGTCCCGTGCATTCCGTAAAGGTTGGGTCGCACAATGTGCAACAGAGCTGGTAAAACCAGGAACATGACCACAATCCCAGAAACAAAATCACGCTCATCACCCATGGATATCAACAATGCCCTAGTCGGCACGTTCCCGACAGGGTATTTGCCCACAATCTCCACGCCGACATGCTAATGTTGCATCGAGGGGGAGGCCGCGTCGGCACTACAATAGCTGTGTCCGGGATCCCCCCCAAAATAAATGACAACAACTTACATTGCGCGTAAAGAAAATATAATCGGCACTGTACTCATGCAGAGCAGCCTGCCCTTCGCCTCATCTAGCATGATCCAAAACAGGCAGATTGACGGGTATCCTTGGAGGCACATTGGCGCGAGGTGGCTCCAAACCAACCTCTTGGCACCAAAACCGCTCAACCAAAAGAATGTCTGCAGCGAAAGAATAGCCAAGTCCATGAGCACGGACGATATGATTTTACGGACGTAGTATAAGACCCACCTCGGGAAGGACGGTCGCCACCTCCTTGCCGTCAAAGATGCCCATCCCTCGGGGCTCGAGGAAGGCGTACTCGGGGATAACTCTTTCCTGATCGGTCCGTCACAAACGTCACAAGAAAAAAAAACGACATCGGTCCGTCACAAACGTAGCAAAAAAAAGCGATAGGAAGAAAGGTTAAGCGTGTTCAGGGATAACTCTCTCCTGATCGTGCCGTAACAAACGTAACAAGATAGAGCGATAGCAAGGAAGGATTAAGCGTTGTTCAGGTATATCTCTCTCCTCATCGTCGCATCCCGAACACAGTTAGAGCGATTTCTTAAGGGATAACAAGTCTGCACCGGTCGGCATAAGTTTGACGTACCAGCCGGGGTCACACAGGAGGAAGGTGCCACGGCAACTTTTTGTCTAGATGAGTACAACGATGAGAAGCAGACGTGTCTGGACCGCAAAAACCAGTGCGACACACCACCAACAAGAGCCACAGCAGTATGGTACGGTTCAACACAGCAGTGAGCCTCTGCTTCGAGCAGAAAACAAACAGAACGCCGACACCTTCGTCTCCATGCAGCGGGGGCTCCGCAACATCATATCCGTACCCCTACAATAACCGGTATCGAACAAAACAGACGCCCTCAACACTGCACTACAGCAGCGTCGGCTTCCGATGACGACGCCGTCGTGAACAACCAAACCACTCGTATGTGCCGTTTCGCAATGAAACGTCCGTCATCTCGCCTACGAAAATCTACAGTAGGTACGATGGCTTCAGGACGCGATGCTCCAGGCTGCTGCTGCATCGGACACTATGGCCTCACGGCAGGATACACAAGGCTGCTGCTGCAACGCCTTACGCACAGCTAAATAGATAGCGGCCGTAACACTTACCTGGCGGATGTCGAGCTCTTGTGCCAAGATTCTAGCCGTGTCCTGGGCGCGACTTTGCAAGAAGACGCGACGTGTGGATTTGAAACGAAGAACGTCGACAGGGGGCGGGAGGACGGGTGTCAAAAACCGAGAACACAAGTTTGTGGTCGGAGAACGCACTCGTGACACACACGGGAACAGACGGATACCGGCAAATAACAGCCCTCCAGGCGATTCATTTCTAGCCGGCCCACGCGTGGACGATCTAGCCACGTCCACACCACCACCGGTGGGACATCCAGGCTCTGGGATTGGGTCCAGCTGCTGTTTCGGTGCAAACATCCCGGCTCTTACCCCGCGCCCCAACTATTTTTAGAAACTATGCATGAAAACACAGAAGAACTACCAGTTCGAGTATTAAACCACAGTCGGAGGGGGTGTGCTGAATTCTTTCAGTGAGTGGAGGGAGACCGGCTGGAAACTGGGCACATTGTGAGTCTGTTTTAAGCCCACTGTTTAGCTGGAAAAGTGCATTTTTCATGGGTTTGTTTACCTGGAGATGTCGGCCCAGATGAAGGCGTCACCCACGCCCAGCGCCCGCAGCACGCCCGCGGCCCGCTGCGTCTCCTCCACCCCCTGGTCGGTGAGGCGGTTGTCGACGTGGAGCTTGTCGATGGGGTGGGACTGAACGACGCCTTCCTTGTCCGAGGCCCCCTGGCCCGACCTCATCAGGAAGTAGCGGTTGTTGAGCCTGACAAATAAATTCGTGTGAAAAAATCGGGCAGCAGTGGTGATGGGGTGGTCGTTGTTTTGTGCCTCAGCGATATGAATGTGGGCGGGTTCGCAATGCAATGAAGGAGGGGCAGCAAGCTCTCTGAGCCATTTTGGTTGACAGGAGCGCCCCACGAGTGGTGACGACGATCGATCAAGAGGGGTCTCGTGGATCGCACCCATCGAAGGTGCACGCAAGCGCATGCCGACAAACTGCTGTGGTACACACAAACAAAGTTGTCTCCGAATAAACACGAATTTTACTTCTTTAATTCAGAGGAACACCGTGGACTATTGAACGGGGTTACAGAGCACCAAGAGAAACGTGCGTTTTGGACGATTAAACACCCCGACAACAAAACATTGTTCCTTGCTTCTGCCCACATCAATCGGCAAACTGACCTTGCGGGAGGGAAATCGAGCATGCCGTTCGCGCTGGCGCTCTCCGGCGAAGCGAGCACCAACCCCAGCGCGGCGGCGGAGGTTCCGAGAGCGGCCGTTGCTATGGAGGCAAAGAACCCGCCGCGGGAAACAGCGACGGCAGTGTGCCTAGAATCGGCATCATTTTCTCGTTTCGGTGTCTCGTGCCCCCCCGGCCTCTCCGTCGCCGCCATCTTGGGAACATCGGCTGCAGTTCTGCTGCTGCTGTCCATGGCGCGGGCAGAATGTGCACGTTGACATGATACATGCAAGGTCAAGGTGAAACGAGAGGAAACCAGCGGAAGAGACTGCTGTCTTAACAGATAAGCTGCGAAAATACATACAACCTTTTATTTTATTTTTCCGTTCGACTGTGGGTATTGGGTATATCTCGAACGGGTAGTCTCTCTGTGTGTGTATTTACTTTTCCTAGTATTTTTTCAGGGCCAAACAGCACAGACCCTCTGACACGCTGATAATCAAAACTAAGACTTATGTACGTGGTCCATTGTTGCGCCCATAAAACTCCTCGAATAGTGGCCGAATTTCGTCGCAATGTCACCCTAGGGCCGACAAACGACCAGCTGCTACCCTGGACGCCCGTTCTGAGTCCAGAAGTATGTGTTCTACGTCGGAGCGCCGTGCGTGGGGCAACGGGGCAACGCACGGACGCGCGTGCGTGCCGTCAAACTGGTGAAGTTTGATTGGTCGCCTTTCCGACCATTCGCATACCCGACAGTTTTGTTCAACTTGACCTATGCGGGCCGTTGACGCAAGGGATTGTCTTAGGTCCTAGTTAGCTAGCCTGTGGCAGTATCGAGGCGGGGAAGGCTGTCGCCCTCATACCCCGTAAGCCGGGATCTGCGAACCAAATCATCCCGGCACCTTGATTTTGGTCGCGTGCACGAGGCACACGCCGCCGTTGGTCGGTTCGATCAAGAAAAAATCACACAGAATCTGAAGGCAGAGGAAATAAAGAACGCCTTAGTCAGTGCGCGACGCAACAAGACCCTTGTGCTCACGACTCAAGGATCCAAGGACACATCGGCGAGAATGCCAGTGCAAGTCTTCCAGTCTTGTCTAAATTGCAACAACCGCCTCCGTCCATGCCTACGGGTCGAGTTTACAGCAGCAATTTCTCTCCTCTTGCCTGCTGCGTGCCAAGTTGATGTTCCGGTTGGAGATGGTGCTGCGAGTGGTGAACGCTGAGGAGAGCGGGGTCGCAGTGAGGAAGAGGGCAGCAAGGCAGGCAGTCGCCAAGGCATTCGGGGAGGGTGCCATCGCTGAGGGGGGAATCTACGCTGCCTATCTCGACAACACGCACAAGGTGTGAAACAACGATGTGTGTGCGGTAGTGTGCGGGCGATGGGGTTGCGAGCGACTGCGCAGGTTGGTCACGCCGCACTCGGACACTCGGAACACCTTTGCTTCGAACCGAACGCGAAATCCATCCACGGAGCTCCCGCTCTACTCTAGTCTACTACACATGATTGATTGGGACCACGCCACATATATAGCACAGACCTACAAATCTTAATGATCTTCGCCCCTCGTGAGGCAGGCGGCAACCCACTCCGTCCGATGATTGGAGGCATACATCAGTCCCTACCACGCGGATACCTCCCCCACCCGCTGGCACACCTTCGTCTCAACACGGGCAAGTGCTTTTCGTTTCGTGCTTTATATGCGTATCCAAGCGTATCCCGAGAGATTGCTGCCGCAGCAGCACAGCCCACAAGGTCCAGACGCAGGGGGGTTATCACCCCCCCCCCTCGTCCCCAGTTAGGAACGTGGAAGTACAGATATTGTCATCAGGTGTTATGCATAGACTGCATATCAAGTGGAACGAACTGAAGGTAGCGGGGATGCAGTAAATTAGGGAGAGCGAACAGGTCCCAGCACAATCCACACCACAGACAGCAGTAGCGCATGCAGGCGATGACTTTCAATTCGTCAATGGCCCGTGCGTGTGTGTGTCTACAAACGCTGGGCACGGAGGGGACAGAGGCAACTACTGTATACTCCTGGGTGCCGAGAAAAGAGACCATGGCAGTAAACATGCGCATGCGGTATGTATATATGTATGCGTTCGCACACAGAAGGAGTGTCGTGTGTGTGTCCACGTGTAACGCACATTTCGTACCGCAGCAGTAAATATCCCTTGAGAGCGCCATCCTCGAAGAGAACGCCCTCAGGTCCACCCCAAATACAACCTACCACCGGTGCACCACAAAAACCTTGAGAACGCCCCGGGCGTCCATATTGTTTTTTTAGTTGTTTTTGTAGTCGCCCCCATGTCGCCCTCTCACGGGGTCCCAGATCGTGATCTTTAGCAGCGCTGCTTTCTGTTCTCAGCCGGACTGAGGTTGACGTGTTTTCATTGCTTCATTGGTCAGCCGGTAAGTGCGGTTGATGGTAATACCAAAGACACACATAAACACACACACACATGAACGGCCGCGAGTTTTCATGTGGGCCCGATGTGTTCCTCGAGGCCATGCACGTGTAGAGGGGGCAAGAAATGGAGTGGGGAGGAACATTCGTGTTTGAGAGAGCAGGGAGATCGACTCTAGATTCACTATACCCATGGACAAAGCCCCGGCACGCAACAGCCCGAGAAAGCTGCGCGCTCCGCGGCTCAACACGGGTACCGGCGGACACAAAACCAACCAAATACATCCGCCCCCGACCCCCACCGCTTCCCCGCCCTCCCCCAGGCGGGAGCATCTTCAGGAGGCCCCGAACAAGGCCTCCGACGGGGGCCCTTTCGGCCTACGGGGCCGACGGTACCCCACCCGTCCTCCCGGATGATCCGCCGTCTCCAACTTGGTGGCCGCTTGAGGAATTCATGGTCGCGCGGGGGAGCCGTTTACCGATCTACACCTTCGTGTCACAGTTCACGGGAGAACACGAGTCCGCGCTCTTGCATGGTGAGGATGGCAGCCGCGAGGCGCCTTCACCGGAGCAAGTCGACACTGACGTGGGTTTTCTGCGCGGGTTGAACCTCCAAGGGCTCCAGGTGGGCGGGGCGTGTGACGCCCCAATCTGGAGGGTCATGGTGTCTCCAGCAGCAGCAGCCGATGGCAAAATACCACGATACGACGAGAACAGCTTACCGACCCCCGCCACGCTAGTCGCAGACCTCAAGGCGACAGCTAACTTCAAGAGTGGCATCACCGACATGGATGATGACGGTCCACTGCCTTACCTGCGGGACCGGCCGTTCGCCGACGAGATCCACGAGGACGACGACAAACAACACATCTTCGAGACGTTCGACGTTTTGTCAGAGAACATAGCGTTGATGGAACCTGAGGTAGTCGACCCGGCGATCAGTGAACGTCCGCTGGAACATATCGTGTGGTGCATTGAGGACACGTTGCAGAACTTGGCACAGCTCGCCGCCCTGAAGCAGTACGTGCTGAAGCAGCGAGTGTTCTATGTTCTGATACACACGGAACGGGTCAAACATGGTGTAAGCGGCTACGTTTCGAGCTCTCATGCGCTACTCCTAGCGCTGGGGGTGTCGCCCGTCACCGGAAATCTGGTCGGTGTCGTCGCAATGCAATTGTGTAAAGGCATGTTGTAGCTGAGCTGTATCGTAAGCCGGAATTCAGCTGTGCTTTGTCCTCGGTGTATCGTATTGGTGTGTTGGAGACGCTTGGCACAAGAGCCAACTGACGCATGACAAAATAAACGCAAGTTTCGGGTTTGTGCAGACTTAGCCGCTGTCGCCTCTATCCAAGGCCCCCTTTTTCGACCTAACCCAGCCCGCAAATAATTGAACCATCTCCGTTGGAGCACGCAAAGTGCCTGGCCTTCGAGTTTGCTCAAAGTACACGCCGCCAGAGCTGGCTTCTCCCTTGTCCACCCGTTCTCTGTAGAGCGATCCCACTTTTCCAAAGGCTTCCTCTTCCTGGAGTTAGGCATCTTGTAAGGCGACCGTTCGACCTCTTGTGCAAGCCAACATCAACCAAACCCGTAAAACCACCTCCATTCCATACCGTACGTACACAGTTTGCGTAGGCCTCATTCCATACCAACACACACCACCCGCTGCTTCTTTGGTTCGTGTGTGTGTATGCCCGTCAGAGTTGTCGTCATCAGTGGTTTTGTCTGCCCATCCCTTCTTCCCTCTGCTCCACGGTGTCCCCCAGACCACTATTCTACAGCGTCACACTCCTCCCCGACCCTCTCATCGCACGAGAAAGTCACATGTAGTTGTTAATGAACTCCCGACTGAGCTCGCATACTTCACGACAGATGTGGTCCTCTACGAATTCCCAGCTGAGATAGGTGTGCCTCGCATATTTCATATTTAATCTATGAAATAAAGGAGAAGGGGTTTCGTGTCCTTATCCCCCAACCCCGCCCCGTACTCCCTACTAAAACCAAGCTTACGTACGTATCCTCGCGAAGGCCATTACCTCCGCTCCAAGGCAGGTGGTCCTGGCCTGGTGTATATTTCCACCGCGGGCAACCCGCAGCCTGTTTCGATTGCCACCTGGAGACGACGTCGTTAGCCGACTGGCTTGACAGCACTTGTGCTGCTTGGTGGTAGACGCGTGCACTAAGTTCGCGCAGCAAGTCCCAATCAAATTCCGGACCTCGTGGAGGATCCGGCTTTTACCTGTTCACGTAATAGCCATGTATGTGTGCGTCTCGCGGTGTGTTAACTTTTTTGTGTGACAGAGCGCGGGATGTTCCCATATTTTAGCCGATGGCCGTCATTGCTCCCGCTGACAGCTCTGAAAGCCGCTAGTATTGTGGAAACGGACGCGGTTTACCCGCCAATGGCCGGTAACCCGGGAAGGGTGTAGCGGTGTCACGAGATTGCGTGGTCGCTCAACAATTGTGCGGTCGCTCAACAGGGGGTCTCGCTAAACCGGGGCCCCTACTGAACGTTTGAGTATTGAACGAAAAAGATTGATGTAGTAATTCCATAAAAAAAACGATAATAGTAGTCTCGTCATCCATTGTCAACACCTTTCCGTGTGCTTTTTGTTTAACCAACCAGCGCCGTACAGGAGGGAGGCCACACCAGAGCTCCGTAGTCATGAGTTTGAACTCAAGACTTGTTGAAATACTAGAACTTGGACCCCGCCCCCCACTAAAACCTAACTATTCTCTTTGTTGGCTATCTCACAGAGCAACAAGCCGCGATGCGCGTTGCCCTCAAAAACAAGACTTTTCGTAGATAGGTGACGGCGATTTCTCTGAGGCAAACCGCTGCTAGCTTTCCGAAGCAAACATCAAAACACACGACCACAACGACCTACGCGTTGTCGGCATCCAAACACAACAAGAATAGACGCCGCCCGATCGCCACCTCCAAGCCGTTACGCAATCAAAACTCAAACACAGCTAGTCTCCACCGACATTTCGCAATATTTAGTGTTCCGTATCTATGAGACCCACCCGATGCAAAGGTCTTGTAGGCTACGGAGCCCCTCCCTGGCAACACCTACATTGGACGGCAAATTTAACTATGTAACCACCAGAGATAGGCGACCGCTTCCCAGACTTGTTTTCAGGTTGCAGGTCGTCACGGTTCGAGGTGTACTCCTGTAGTGCTCCCATTCGGAAGATCGCAATCGCACGCGCGCTCTTTGTAAGGTCTCGAAGCGCGCCGTATGACAACCAAAACACGTCCGGCTTGCGACATACGATCAAAGAAGGAGCGTCTCCGTCATTCTCCATCATCGGTGAGCCTTCTTTTTTCCTGCATTCGACAGGGCATTCAACCACCCTCGATCACATTCTCACGAAAAATCCACACTCAGAGCTCTCAATAGCCTGCATTCGACAAGCAAGGCAGTCGTTCGCCCCCGATCACAACTTCCCACCAAAAAACCATCCATCCAATCAAAACCCGAAAACAATCTAGCCCACCTCTCCACGAAGCTCCACTCCTGACAGCAGTCCGTACCGAAAAACCACACCTTCCAGACATGCTAGACATGGCGACGAACCTATCGCGCGCCGAACTCGACGCCATCCTCTTTCAAAGAACGGTTCCAGCAAGCCTCTGATCTCGTGGTTGGCGGAGGAAGCCTCATCCCGCCTCTTCTACCTAGAAACCCCGCAACACCTAGGAACAACTACCATCGCTAATAGGGCCCCCGCCCCGCCCCGCCCCGCCCCGCCCAACCCTACCCCCCCCAAAAAATCTCCGGAACCGGTCCCTGAACTCCCCCGGCCAAACATTGCATGTCCTCAAGACGGATCTTCAAGCGTTCCGTCGTTCTTCTGCATAACTGCCAGCCGCAGACATGCCGACAGGGATGCTTTACCCGACCATCCGGTACGAAAGCTTTTTTCTTTCTAGCAATATTTTCTTGATGGTCGCTTCTTCCGCACAACTACTGGACGCTTTCTTCTACCGCTGTAAGCGCAAAGAAGTGCCTTCTTACTGATCTAGAGATCCCTCGTCGTTCCTCGTCAGTCGTTTAGACCGGGTCGCCCTCGTCTTCCTCGTCAACCTCCCCGTCCTCGTCACCAGCAACCCTGCTACCCGAAACCCCGCCAGAGGCGTTCCTGTCGCCGGCGGCATCGGTGTCGCTGGCGGGAGCAGCACCCGTGGTTCCAGCAGCACTCTTCTGAACACGTTCCACGAAGCAGGCGAAACGGGAGCGGGGTCGGGGTGGGTGGGTGGGTACTCATGTATTGCATGCCTTCGCTGCTAGACCATTGACCGCGCATCCCTACAATGGGGGGGGGCGGGGGCGGGGGCGTACTCATGTTTTGCATGTCTTCGTTCTTAGGCCGTTGACGGCTCGTACTCGAGAGGACGGAGCGTTGTTCCCACAGGATCGATCACCGATGGCCAATCGTTCCTTCGTGCGGGGCGGGAGGGAATCAGTGGTAACTCTTGTCTTTCAGCGGTGGTGAGAACGGCAAAATAGACGACACGGGCAATGAGGCACAAGCTGCCACTCGGGTTAGGTGCAGAGCGCATAGTCTTCCCCTCCGAAACGGGCTTCGTGCATCGCGTCGTTTAACAGCACCGGTCGAGCGGGTTCCCTCCGAAGTTCCTTCAAGAAAAGGATCCTAAACACGAAAGAAGTGAGTTCGGCGGCGTGTTGAAATGAACAGCCTGCCTCAAGAATTACGGGATGGCAGTCCCAAAGTGGCGTCGGGGCAATACAGTACACCTTGTCGTTTCCCATGCATAAGACTAATTGCTACAATAGCTTGCAAAAATAGCCGCCACAGCAGAGCAAGAAGAGAAGAAGGGCATCCGAACCCTTGTCAGGGTTAAGATAACGGCATGCCACACCGCACAGGGGTGTCGGAGGGGGGGAGAGGAAGCCTTGCTAGATTAAGGCTAACCAATTGGACTACTCATCCAGCGCCGACTGAGTAGTCTAATGGATTTATTAGCCTTCATCTAAGGTTCTGATGCATGAAAACGGAGAGTTTGAAGGAAACAGAGAGACTAGGCCTGGACTGGTGAACAAGAAAAATCAAGTCTTGGGAGAGAATTTAGAAAAAAAAAAAAAGACGACAAACACAGAGAACAACCCGGTGCGTACCTCAGCCGAGGCAGCCGCAGAACCAGAAGCTTGGGCAGCGAAACGCTTCTCCCTGGCCGACAGAAGGACAAAGTGGAAGCACGGGCGGAGGAATGCGTCAGACTCGGACACAACAAAACAATGGAGAAAACGACGGGACCAGAGAAGAACCGAAAACAAGCAGCAAGCAGCAGACAACGGAGTGATATCGGCCAGACAAAGAACATTGGACCAAGCCCTGCTCACTGCCAGGAGACATGTTTCGCGGGGAGACAAGAACAAAATCGGCGTACACCATCAATGCTTCCGCAAAAAGATGAAATACGAGACAGGCCACTCCAAGCCTACACAACCACACGTCGAAACAGCAGTCACAAAACAGAATCGACAAAAACAGCAAACCTGCGACATACAACCAACACCCACGACTGGCGTCGCGTGCTCGATCCGTTCGAACCTAACCTAAATCCGGTTCTCACTGGGTGGAATGGCATCGTACAGCACATGGAATACGACGGCACTCTGTGAAAACGGTCGCATCACAACGGGCTTTCCACGTGGATGCGACGACCACTACCACAACAACAATATGACGGCTTATCCCCTCAAACACCAACCTTGCGGCCAGCGCCGCGGCAGCAGCCTTAGTCGCACCCCCGCCGCCGTCGCCCGGCTTCTCCCCCGCGCTCTCGCCCGCAGCGGTAGAAGAAGCAGCCGGGGTCGCAGTTGCAGCATTCGCCGCCGCCGCCGCAGCAGCAGCAGCAGGAGCCCCCGCCGAAGTCGAAGCCACCGGCCTGCCGAACGTCGGCACCGCGGAGCCGAAGGAAGGGGGGACCGCTCCGGGAGCCGCGGCCGCGGGGCTGAGCCCGAACTTCAGCTGCCCGCCGCTGGTTGTAGTAGGAGACGAGCTGAACAGCGAGGACGACGACTTCTGCTGCTGCTGGGAGGGGAACCCTTGGGTCGAGGTGGTGAGCGGGGTGATCCCGAACGCCGTCGTCGGGGACGGAGGCGACGACGCGGAAGGGTTGGGGACCGGCAGGTTTACCGACCCGAAGGGAGAGAACCTGGGTTGAGTCACGACAACGGGGGCGCCGCGGATGTGAGAAAGGAAGAAGGGGATACCCACTCGTCGTCCGTGGGGCAAGGTGGTAGGTATGTTGATGTCGAAGACGGGGGTGCCTATGTGTTTCTCTACAGTGGTACTGATACGCTACTAGGGGCCGACAGAAACAACACGACTACCGAGGTGGCACGAGAATTCGGTGGGGAGGTGGCGAGATATACACCCGTGAAATCAACGTCAGCTCTCGTTTTCCCTTTACACAGCCAGACACGCGGGGGGCCTGCTGTAATTGAGGCTTCTGATTTCTGAGCCCCCGTCAAACCGGCCCTGCCCCCGCTAGAAAACCAACCTACAACATCAAACCAAAACCTCACGTTGCGGCTGACGAGGGCGGCTTCATGGCAGGCAAGCCGCTGCTCCCGAACCCTCCCCCTACTCCGAAGCCGGCGAACCCTTTGCCGCTGCCGAACACGCCTCCTTTCCCACCAGCGCTGTCCTTCTCCCCGCTACCTCCTCCTTTCGCGCCACCAGCGGCGGCATCTACCCCGCCGTCTCCTCCGCGCCCAACGGCACCGCTTCCATCCGCAGCCGCCGCCGCCGCCGCCGCCGCAGAAGCGGAGGACGGAGTGGCAGCAGCGCTACCGGCGGCGCTTGTGGTGGTGGTAGTCGTCGTCGTCGTCGTCGTCGTCGGTGACGAGAAGCCCGCGCCCAAACCAGCCGACCGCGCTCCCCACTTCATGACCCCGAACTTGGCGGGTGCGGTGGTTCCCCCAGCAGCAGCAGCAGCAGCAGCACCAGGGGCAGCAGCAGCAGACGACGAGGATGAAGCCCCCCACCCGGCGCCGCTGAAGCCGAACGGCTTAGCGGTCGGGTTCAGCGAGGTATTGGTGGTGGTGGTGGCGGAAGCCGACCCAAAGATGCTGCCACCGCCGGCAGCAGCGGCGCTGGCCCCGAACCCGGGAGCGGGCGCGGGCGCGGGAGCGGGCGCGCCGGCCGCGCTGGTGGTGGTAGTAGTAGTAGTAGCAATAGATCCGGCGGCGGCGGGCGGCTTGGCAGCGGCGGGGGCGGTGGCGGCGGCTGTGCCCCCAAACCTCAGCATGCTCGAACCCGCGGCCGGCGCCGGCGACGCGGAAGCGAAGGGGTTGTCGGACGTCGGCGACGACGGTCCTCCGGCGGTAGCGGCCTC